TTTAATACATTCCAACCAACTTATTTTTTAGTGTCTAATAAATGCATCAATACTTAGCCCATGTTTGATTCCAATTATTTCAAAATTTATTATTTTTTAAACTCATTTTCAACCACACATCCCCATAATAAAATATTTTGTACGTAAATTTCATTTTTTTCTACTTTTTAACCACATATTTACTAAAAAAAATCACTATTGCAAAAGTCTTTTTCTCTAAAAAACGGCCATCAAACATGGCCTTATATTTTTTTGTAACTATTTTTGGTTGATTACATGATATGTTCATGTTCGTTGTTCCAATTTCAGTACTCTACCGTCAAGCATCGACGACTCGACAACCACAATAGGTACTTTTTATATATTATATATTCTGTTTATTTTTAGGATTTGTTTAATAATTAATAATTTAGCCCTTGTTTGGCGTGAAGCAAAATCAGGATTTTAATATAAATTTAAGTCAATAATTAATTTTAATCACAAATTTTATGGGACCCACTACTTTTCAATTACGTATTTCATCAATTTTTATCAAAATTTACTAAAAATTTGATTTTAATACCTACCAAACTGGGCTTTAATGTTTTTATATTTTTATTTTTTTTAGCTCCAACAGCAGAAGAATTAATAATGAATTGTGGTGATTGGCCATGTTGGTATTGTTGTTAGGTGGAAGTGCAATAGTTGAAGGAGATGATGAGATGGACTGAGATAGTAGTTAGCTGAAGTGGTGGGGCCACCGCAAAGGGAGGTTGATGCGGATGTGATGGTGTTGATTTGTTGTTTTTTGTTTCTTGAATCCTTTGAGTTCCATGCGTATGTTTGTGGGGGCAATCCAAGAATATTTTTGAATCAATCTTGAGTTCTTGCATATCAAAAAAAAAAAAAAAAAAAAATTTTGAGTTCTTGATATTTTTTATGATTAATTAAACCTATCTCCCGACCCTCTTTTCTTTTCTTCTCTTTACACATACATGCATAGAATATATGTAACGCCCATAAATTTAGATGCATAGATTTGGTGATATTATCATTTAACTCTCTTAAAATCATAAATTCGAAAAACGATTAAATTTTTCTGTGA